TCCGCCCGTCCTGCCCGGGGGTGGGTGAGGGGCCTCCCTGCAGCCCGGGGCTGACGTGAGCCCTGTTGCTCCGCAGTGCCGGCCAGGCTGGGCCCCCCATCCCGCGGCAGGGCGAGCAGCTCCTCCACCTCCTCCTCCTCCTCCTCCACCGAGCCCTATTGCAATGACGGCGCGCCCCCCCCTCATGCCTGGGTCTGCCCGCCGCCCCCCGCCGATGGCACCCACCGGCACACAGCACCCACCACCCACAGCTACACCGACTACCCCAGCACAGGTGGGCACAGCTGGCGGGCTGTGTGGTCCCAGGGGTGGGAGCAGGGATGGGGACAGCCCTGGGGAGGGGAATGGGGGTGGGAGGACCGCAGGGGATGGGAGCAAGGGTGGAAGGTGCCAGTAAGAGACCCTGTTTCCCCCAGCTCCCCCAGCAATGCCCCGTGTGCCCACCCCAGGCCTCTCCCGCTCCTGGGTACCTGTGTCTCCAGCAGACCCCGATCCCGCCGACAGCTCCAGCACCTCCTCCGAGGACTGGTACGAGAACGTGCAGGGCGTGGAGCCGCCCGGGGACCCGTCCCCACACCCCGGTGAGGACCCGCGCTGGCAGGGCAGGAGCGGGGCTGCGCGGGCGCAGGGCTCCTCTGTCCCCGCAGCATCCTCCTCCCGCTCCCTGCCCATCTACCTGACGGGCTCTCTCCTTTGCAGGCTGGCCGGCTCCGTCCTGTCCCTCGGGGGGACACACGCAGGACCCTGACTCCTCTGAGGGCAGCGACTACGATGACATCCAGGGCTCTGCCTACTGAGGCTGCCCGACCGCTACGGACGGAGGGGCATGGCAGGGGGGGACCTGGCGCTGCGTGCAGCCGAGGACTCGCCATCCCACTGCCGACGTCTCCTCTGGACTTCTCCGGCTGTCACCTCCGTGCCGGGGCGCGGGCACCAGTCCCGGCGGCACCCGGGGGATGATCGGCACAGGCGAGCTGTGCCGGCCTGCGTGCTGTGATTAAAAGCTTTTCCCAGCAGGTCGCCGTGTCCCTCGGCCATAGGGGTGGCTGGTCACCGAGCCCTCAGCGAGGCTGGGTTGCCAAATGCTCTCAGGGGGTCCCAGTTGCCCACGGGGCAGCAAGGGATAAGTGACCCAAAGATGTCCCTTCCTGCAGTCCCCTGCCTGGCTGGTTATGGGGAGCAGCATCGCCTGCACCGGCCGCAGGACCTGGCTGCCAGCGGAGGTGATGTCCCCCCTCTGCCCGCAGAGCTTCCCCCAAGCTGGGCAGGGCAGGAGCAGCCGGACCCCCCCCTGGTCCCCAGCCCACGGCAGCAGGGAGGGGGGAAGGCAGGGCCTGATCCAGCCTCACAGCACCGGAGATCCCCGTGGCTGGGGGTGACGAGGCCAGTCCCCAGGGCTGGCCCTGCAGGGAGACAGGTGGTGGGGACGTGGGGTGGC